TTTTTTTTTTTTTTTTTTTTTTTTTTTTTTTTTTTTTTTTTTTTTTTGTGTGTGTGTGTGTGTGTGTGTGTGTGTGTGTGTGTGTGTGTGTGTGTTTCTTTCAATTCCTGTGCAACGGTCTTTTTCCCTTCTACCCCCTGTAAGTCAGGTTTGAAATATCCTCAACGGAGGTCACTTCTACATCGTCCCTATTGCCGCATCACCGCCATCTCTACTATTGTCGTCATGCTCTGCAGCACTTTGGGTCTCCACCAGTTCCTTGCAGCAATTAGTCACTTCCTGTTCCTTTGCGTTGACGTGCACTATTGTTTTGTTCACCCTGGTTCGGCTACTATAGTCGACGTCCTCACTTTGTTGACTTTCCTTTTTTTTTTTTTCCCCCCTACATGCTTCTTGTTTTGGTTGCAGAGCAAAAGTACGAGCAAGGGAAACAGCAAGAGCAAGACCAAGAACAGGATCAGGATCAGGACAGGGAGCAAGACCAAGACCAGGATCAGGACAAGTTCTTAAGAGTCGCTGGGATTGTGGGCACTGCAACAATGGCTAGCAAGCTGCTGGTTTGTTACCTTTGCTCCTCCCTTCCTATAAACAGGCCTATAGACAGATCTATAAATAGATCTATAGACAGGCAGTAAGGAGGATTATTCGCAGATCGATCCTTGTTCATTGATATTCATTTGTTATTGTAATGTATTGTGTACGCAAGGAGGATAAAGAGGATTTGAGGGAGATGACGACTGGCAAGAGGAGGATAAGAGGATGTGAGGGAGATGATCGGCTCCAACTACCGTCTTCACCCGCATAAAATGGCCGGTCATTATCGCTGCATCAGGACTGAAAGTTGTGCCAAATACAGCCCCCATAGTTACTATTCCCCGTCTTTGTCTTCTCCACTTCTTCTTGAGTTTGAAAGTCTTGCATTGTGTGAAATATGAGTTTGCTTTGTGAGTTGAGCAGGATCATAACACTTCCACATTTTTTTTTCTTCTGGTGGTTTTGATGCTCCAGGGGACAGTGAGAGAAACAGCTCTTGCAGCAGCCTTTGGAGTAGGTCCAGTTATGGATGCCTTTAGGTGAGGGATTGCAAATCCTCACTCTAAACCCCTGAACCCCTAAACCCCTGAACCCCTAAACCCCTAAACCCTAAACCCTAAACCCTAAACTGTCTCACCGTCAGAATCCTCATGGGCAGAATCTTTGCTGTCAGTGCTGTCACTTTGAGAATCCTCAGCGTCAGCGTCAGAATCTTCGCTGTCAGTGCTGTCACTTTGAGAATCCTCAGTGTCAGAGTCATCAGTGTCGTCAGCATCAGAATCTCCGCTGTCCGTGCTGTCACTTTGCGAATCCTGTGTCAGAGTTGTCAGCATCAGAATCTCCGCTGTCAGTGCCGTCACTTTGAGAATCGTCAGTGTCAGAGTCATCAGCGCCATCAGCATCAGAATCTTCACCCTGAACAGTAAGCTCTGATGATCTGAAGTCGAAAGCTCTAAATGGTTGCACACAACTTTGACGGTGAGGATTGTGGGTGATTAAATCTGTATTGAGAATTTGAGAGCAATTGCAAATTTTCAGGATTAGACTCAGATGTTCAAAATTCCAAATATAATTAAGCTTTGCTCTATTGGAGGAGAGGGGAGGGAGGGGGGGAAAGGGGGGACACAGAAATGGAAGTGCTATACCCTCACCGTAAATAACCATAGTTTCCACCCTAAATCTGAACATCAAACCCAAGTCCCATAGCCGTCACCTTTTCATACATTCGTTTTGCCTTTCTTGGGAAAAGAAAAAGGTTGTTCTGCCTGTGCTGTCCACCACGCAATTCGTTGTGACTATATATCGTCAAATAGAAATATTTTTTCTGGCTTGTGATGGGGTGTGAACCGAGAGTCTGTAGAGTTTTCCATCTGGTGTGGGTGAGTGATAGTCTACTTTGATTTTGGTTAAGGTAGATTATCATTTACAGTGTAATCAGTGAGGGGATTCTGCAGACTRTTGAGGGTTCAGCCTCCTGATGAGTCGGTGAAACTYCGACGAAACAGTTTGTCACAGCCCCTCGTTTGTTGTCCTCTTCTCTCTTTCTGCCTACGGTTTACCGGGCAGTTCTGTTTGTGACGACCGGGCAGTTCTATTTGTGACGATATATATCATCAAACCGAGGTCCTGGGTAAACCGTAGGCGGAGAGGGAGAAGAGGACAACAAACAAGGGGCTTTGACAAACTGTTCCATAGGAGTTTCAACGACTAATCATGAGGCTGAACCCTATATATATAAGTCCTCTTCTCTCTCTCTGCCTACGGTTTTACCGGGCAGTTCTGTTTGTGACGATATATATCGTCAATATATACGACTCTGCCAGCCCCCTGCTTTGGTTTTCTCCGGGCAGGTGGAGTGGCAGTGGTGGGGGTCGTCACCGTGCGGCCGTGCTGTGCCGCCTGTCCCAGCAGCGTGTCTGCAATGCACTTTTCCTGGCTGTGGCAGACCTGTCTTTGTTTCGTGGACGTTTCACTCGCTTATGATGAGGTGCGAGCCTACAGTGTGTTTCAGAGTGCTTCATGCTGTCGGCAATTTTCTTCACTTGTTTCACACAATGCGCTCTTTTTGTTGATAGATATCAGACAACATACATGTTTTTTTTTTCTAATATTTTCCCTGATACAGTGGAAGTTATTATATTATAATAATAATAATATTATTATTATTATTATTATTATTGTTATTATTGTTATTATTATTATTGTGTTTCCTCAAAATGCGACTTCAATTACTCGATCAAACTAGAGGCTGGGAACCTCAACAATAAACCCAGATACAGTGGTGGTAACTTACCCAACATCCCCAACTTTTTCCAACTTTTAGGTTAGAAAAATGTATTCAAATTTAAAACTTGCCAAAGTTCGAAGGTGGGGACCACGCTTGGGTCCGGGAGGTTGAGCTTTTCCACGATCTCCTGGTAATGGGCGAGGGCTTCAACAGGTTAGGACCACGCATCCTGGAGAGAGAAAGATTGCCTGAAGGGCCAAAAATGTGGTTTAGACTCTTTAGAGAGTTAAATTTTATTGCACACATGTTTATATATAACTTTATAATACTTTATATCATGTTATATACTTGTTGAGCTCTAAATTAGTCTTTTTTTTTTTTCTGGCTCTTTGATAGACTTCTGTTCGGGTGTCTTTCTTTTCATACCCTATCCTTCTGCCACCGTCCTCCGCCCCTCGTTCCCCTTTATGAACCCTCAACCTTTGATCCTCAATTTAACCTGCCTGATACTGTCGTGATATATTTATTTGATTCTCAATTTAACCAGCCTGATAGTCATGCTGATTATTTATCGGAGTCGGACGCCATACAGGCACTGCGTTGTCTGTATGCAGATCTGGATACCGACAACCCAGGGCAGGGGTTAGTGAAAGGGGGCAGGGGAAGAAGGGTGGCCCCTATGCCAGGACATGCAAAACATTTTTTTCATGGCCGCGCCGGACCTGGCACCGGACCAGTCCAGACGACCGGTCGGACCTGTGTCTGGACTGCTCGGGACCGTCCAGATTGCCCCCCCCCCCCCCCCCCTCCTAGGATTTCGCTATGAATTTTGAGATGGTCCTCAACCGAAAGATTTTTGTATTGCAATGCTGCATAACGTATCTTTTTATTGAGATTTTTTTGATTTTTTTTTGGGGGGGTTGGGGATGTGGGGACGGATCCGGACACTCTGTGGACTGGACACCAGACCTCGACATCCAGACCGAGACGGTCTGCACTGCGGTCTGCACGTCCGGATCGTAAACCATGCTTTTTTTCACTGTGGGAAGGAAGACATGACCAAACAGGTTGTCGTGTGGAATTGGGGGAGGGAGAAGGGAGGGAGGATGGTGGCCCCTGTGTCAGGATGTGCAAAACATTTTGTGCCCTGTGAAATTTGTGAAGGGAAAAAATGAAAGAAAAAGCATGTCGTATAGAATTGCAATACCAACAACGTCGTGAATAAGAGAGCATAACCAATGAAGCCCCCACTTTATACCCGTTCATCCCTTCCCTCGACCTCCCC